ACAGAGGCTGTGAGGAAGTGCCCAGGGGAGAGGATGATGGAGGCTCCCGTGCCTCCCCTGGGAAAGCAGCACAACTGGTAGCCCATCTCAAGTACCTGTCCACAAATCCTCACATGTGAAATAAACATGAGCACTCAGAGGTCCATGTGCCATTGCAGAACTATGACCACATTGGGATTACACAGACTTGGTGGGATAGCTTGCACGGCTGGAATGCTGCAATGAACGGACAAAGCCTTTTTCGGAGGGGCAGGCTGGGAAGGCGAGGAGGACGGGTTGCCAAGGAGTGGCTTGAAAGTACAGTTTTCCTTGGAACAGATAATGAAACAGTCATCATGGACGGGTTGAGTGATCAGCACAAAATAACACAGGTAACATAATGGTAAGCATCTGCTACAGACCTCCTGATCAAGAAAAGAAAGTAGATGAAGCCTTCTTTAGGCAGTTGAAGGAAGCCTTGCAATTGCAAGCCCTGGTACTCACAGTAGCTTGCATCACTGATACCTGCTGAAGAGGCAACGTGGCAGGATGAAAACCGCAGGAGTTTCTGGAGAGCACTGAAAACAATGTCCAGAGTTGCAAAAGAGGACAACTATGAACAGGAGCACAGTTGCTTCTCTCCAGCCTTAGTGCCTTCACCCAAAAGTTGGAAGTCTCAGGTTCAATACCTTCTGCTACAGGAGTTCTTGCATCTCTCACTTGACAGAACAGTGCCACAAACATTAGCTATGGGTAGAAAGAAAGCAGACATACTGCAATCACTCTCACTGAAGCTTCACAACTTTGTACAAAACACTGATCTACTCCCCAGAATAGGGATCTCAGGAGATGTCCATATTCACTGGCAGAAAGTCATTTTTCCACTCTATTTCAGTAAATGTGTACACATTCAGCACCAGAAAATGTTACTAAGGATAATGGACCAAAATACTTCGTGAATTACCACTAAGAAATGGAAAATCTCAAGTCAAATATATCCTGTTGAATACAGACCACAGATCTTAACCAATATTTGCCACCTTTCTGGCAGGAGAGAATACTGGAAGGGGCAGGAAAGGGGAAGCAGAGAGGAGTAGTAAGGAAATCAGCAAAGCCCCTTAGAAAGATTAAAGATTTTTCCACTGCCAGTCTGTCCTGTTCATCATAACAGCCAGAGTCCTCTTGCTAGCCGGGATGCTGACTCCGACCCAAATGGTGGAGTTGCTGATGGTAGCCAAAGGAACTGCATTCAGCCAGGCCCCAAAAAGCTCTCAGCACACAATGGACGTCAAATGGCCACATGACTGACGCACATCTGCTCTACCCGTTCAAATGAGTAATTATCAAACAGTGACTTCTACAGCCCTCGAAGAAATACTTAAGTAATCTGACTGTTGAGAGCAGCTAAGTTCCTCTAGTTGCTAACAGAGGACAAGGTTGTTGCTGATGCTCCTGTATGCACCTCCCAGCTTCAAGTCTTGTGCCGCTAGAGTGCATTGCAAGTGTCTACAGACTGTTCTTCAGAATTTTGCAAGATCTGGCAAGGGCCAAGTACTAGAGGGGTAATATCATTCCCATGAAAGCAAATCTGTGCAACAGCTTTTCTCCAAAGAGTAGTATTTGTGCTAATGGTGGCATCCTACATAAAAGGTATACCAGTTTTTTTTTTCCCTAGAAGCACAGAATAAATTTGGATTCAACTGTGCCAAATGACCCCTAACATTACAAATACTGAGGAATCAAGTTGAATTGTCATGTAGCAGCCCTCTGTAAAAACATATCAGCAAAATAGTTTGTTAATACTCATCAGAGGCTCAGCAGGGTACCACTCCCTAGCTAACAGCTACTGTGCTAACCCTTCAAAGAGGGTCTGGAAAGCCAGAGTGTGAAGACAGAGGAATTAATGCTCAACAAAGATCATGGAAAGCAGAAACACACTTCAAAGCTTCAATCAATCTCTAAGAAATAAGAATTAGACCTTCTTAGAGGCAGCCTATGCCAATTTGTCTACTAAGGGGCTCCTTGCCTTTGGATATCAAAATTTTTCATGCTGTTAGGCATTGGTGAACTGCACACCAATCAGTACCAACAATTTTCTAGTGCATTTTACTGTATGGAATTGCTGGCTTTTCCCATTTTCCAAAATCAAGAGATGTTTTCAAAATAGAAAACTGAACAAAAAAAGAGGAAGGCAAAATCTTCATCTGTATCATTAACAAGTCATGCAGGGTCTCTGAAAAGCTGACAAACAAGACTGAAATTATGAATTTCAGAGGATGTGAAAATAGCAAATACCTTTTATGGTAATATCCATAAACTATGGCAATGCTCTTGAAACTGTAGAAAACTGCAGAGAAGCTACTCAAACAGAAAAAAAATCTGTTAATAAATGAATATGACTGACAGCAAAATTCACATGTTTCCAGAAAAGGAGAAGGTGAACTCCTTCCCCTCCCCATCTTTTGTACTATACCGCAGAGCCAAATCACAGAAAAATAGGACAATCACAGCATGGTCACGTCATAAATCTAGGAACTTTATTCCTCATAGATAAAGGAACTGAAAGAATATAGAAAGAAGAATCCATCTTAACACAGCTTAAAATGGTCTCTCTTTGGTATAATAAAAGATTAAGTTTGCAATAAAAAAAAAAAGAAAAATATAAGAAAACACAACCTGAATACATCTGAAAAGTACCTTTTTTCCTAAGCTAGCATTCAGGATTTCTTCAAGGCACCTGAGCTCAGTCGCTAAGGCCCAGCGCCAGAGAGCTCACTTCCTCAGTTCTATGACTGTTAACACCATCGTGGGCATCCCTGACTTTGCCCTCCCCAGAACTAGCTGGTTGCCATGGAGAGCATTTTGAGCCTAAAATCAAGTTAAGAGACATTCAAAAGCACACCTGAAAAAGACCAAACCAAAAAACTCTCATAGTGGAACAACTAGGCTAGGTCAGGCCTACTACAAAGGAGCATAGTAGGTTGCATATACACCTTTTCCTCAAGACACAAAAGAAACCCTGCAAGTTCACCACACTCTTCTGTCATTCATTCTATATGCACACAAGGAGCTAAATCCACAGAGCTTTTAATCTTCAGATACTCGGATCTAGCTAAGCTATGATACACACCGACCAAATAACTGTTCCATCTGATGAAATTTCATTTCACTTGTCTTCATATCCCTGTTCACCCCATCTCTTCCCTAATTCTTAGTGCACCTTCTGGACAGTACTCTTTTGGGCAATAATTTTGGGCACCATGCTTCTCTAGATAAACGTCTCAGTCCAGTAAGCTGGACTCGGTGGCACCAGGTACCAGGCACAAAAAGGGATCAGATAGCCCAATAACTACAGCATAATGGAAGGATAAAGGAATAAGGAATAAAGGAATAAGTTAAAAGGAATCAAAGTAAATACTCATGAAATCTCATTGTTTTATTTTTGCAAAAAAACCTCATCACCCAAAGTGTGGTATAGGAGAACAGGTACATGGGACTGTAGTACATATTAAACTCCCACACTCTGAACAAATTAAGTCTTTATACCACGTTCAACAGAGCATACACCCTCCCTGCAGAAATCCCCTTTTCTCTTCCTAGAAGAGATTGTGCATCATTCTTTCTGAGAGATCCAGCTGCAGCAAGCTACCAACCGGCAGAGGGACCAGAATTAAGATTCACTCTCTCATAAAGTCTTACGCTCTAATGCACACCCACACCAACCCAAGCAGGAACAAGCCCCGCATGAGATACAGCTGAAGAATCTTTTGCTCTTAAAAATGGCAAGACTTAACGTAGTGCTGTTTGCACAAACAGGGCCTGAGAATACTCCCTAAATATATAGCAAAATAAAAATGAAGTCATTTTAAATTAGTGGGAGAAATGAGGAAAGAGGGGAACCCAAAAGAAGAAGCAACTGCAAAAAACGGTCTTAGTTGTAAAGAAAGAATATAGTTCAAATAATGGGACATGAAATACAGGCATAAAACATAGTTGCTTCACTGAAACAATGAAGAATATATTTAGCAGAAAACAAACACCAAGTTTCAGAAGTCAAGTTTCAGTCCATGATGGGGCTGAATTCTGACTACAGAAAAGGGAAGGAAGGGAGAGGCTGCATTTTGAAAAGGGCAATCTGAAAACACTTAAAAAAGAAGATGAAGAAAAAAATGTCCCCCAGCTGTGTTCATCTGCCCAAGACAAAATCCGCTCACTAACTTTTGTTTCCCCCCCTGCACTCCCCAACCACTTCCTGCATTGCAGAGAGTCTCTGCATTTAGCCCTTACATTGTCAACAGTTTTCTGGAGCAACATGGTACAGCCTACAGCATCTGAAGCCTGTGGCATCCTTAAGGGTGACTCCAAATAACGTGGCGGACGGAAGCTGGCACAAAAGCCAGGTGGGGCAAGTTATGCTCTCCTGCTCTTTCCTCCTGTCCTAGCAGGAATATTTCTGTGTGGCTGCTAAGAAATCCACAAAGGGGGCAACAAGACACAAGAACGCAGCCAGACAAGGGTAGGTTGCAGGGTAGGTTACACGCTTCAGTTCACAGTAAGCTCAATCCCAGAGATCAGATCAGTGTCTACTTTCTTGCTGGTTTTTTTTTTTTTTTCATGAAGAACTTTAAGAATGCACCAACTCAGCTCCCCAGATTGTGCCCTCAGAGAACTGAAGCAGGACAGTCCTCTGGAGCTACAGAAGATACACAGGCAGCATTAGGCTTGCCCTCTTGCTTGGTGAGCATGCGTTCTGTAAGCCCTCTAAGCCTGTGGAAAACATGGTTAGCCTGGGATGGGGCGGGGGGGAAGAGATCGATCAATCCATTTATATCTTATGAGACAAAAGCAAACATCCCTTCTGATTCCCAACTTAGTTGAAGTCACCTCTTGCTTCTCACCTTGAAGAAAATGCAATTCAATATAATGACCAAGCATAACAATCACAATAAACAAAATAACCAAACCTTTTCTTTGCCCGATCAGGACCAGAACTGGAAAAAAATTACTTAAAATTTACTTACTGGTCGGACTTCACCAGTGGTGTTGGTGTATTGACGGGCTAGACCAAAGTCTAACATGTAGCATTTCCTGTACGTTGAAGGTAAGCGGCCCATGGCAAAATTGGACTGGACAAAAAGAAATCAAAAAAACAAGTCAACAATCAGTTGGATGACAGCAACTTGGGTAAGCGTAGCCATTTGTATATGAAATTTTGCCATGCAGCCCCGCACACCTCTGGTGGAAACATGAGTCACAGAGGGGGATTTTAAGATACATCTTGTGGAGAGGAGAATCGTTGCCATGTTAAGAGGTTCTCTTTGCAGAGAAGTGACTGCGGAGTCTCAAAATAACTAAAATTCACATTGGCTTAGCTAAATTTCAGCTGCTATGAAAAAGAGTTACATTTCACACCACCAGCTCTGCAGTGAGATCTTCATCATTTGCAGAACAAGCTGGAGTTACTTGTAGACAAAATGCTTCCTGGCTTCTCTTCGTGGTTCAGCTGCTAGCATGCATTATCCTGTCCTAACTCCAAAAAATTAACTAAAAATCTCCATTTACTACAACACATTACCTGAACTTCTCTGAACATTCAGACACCTAAAAACACTGGGTTTAGTTCTTAGTAAATAAACTAACAATAAGCAAACGGAACAGCCATCATTTAAGCCCCATCTTAAAGTTGGGTGCTTTACCATGATGGATGGCTGCTAAAGGATTGGACCTCAGCCTCATTAGTGACCAGTCAGCTATTTTTTCAGCTGAATCTGATCAGCCAGGAGCAGCTGATTTTAAAGCAGTAAATAGAATAAGAAAGAAGACAGTTACAGTGATGGTGTAGCAAGAAGTGTTCAGGTCAAGCAGTGAAGAGCTCCAGGAAAAAGATTGCCTCCTACAGTGAGACTTGAAAGTACTGTGTCTCACCTAGGCCAGTTACCAATACTGTGACTCACCATACTAGGAACTTAGGTCACCCCAGGTTCAAGGGAAAGGACGAATGAGGAATGTGAAACATCAATTTTGATGTAAATGTAAAGGTGTAATCCTTTCTAAAAAAAAAAAAAAAAAGAGAGAAAAAAAAAAGAAAGGAAAAAAAAAGAGGCCCAGACCAAACTCTGGATGTAGTGCTACATCTTTCAAAGGCTATAGGGATAGGACAGCAAACCCTGAAATTGTACTACTGTGTTTACTGTCTGAGTTCAGTATAATGACTCCCCTGCAGTTTGCACAGGGGAGGTTTTGCTGAATCTCTAGCATGTTTATATGATGTTCCACCCAAAAACCATGGAGACACACTAAGACTGATACCCCAATACACACTTCACTAGCATATTGTCATCACAAGAGGCAGCTGTTCCCAGACACATGCATATTCAGAAGGAAAAGGTCAGCTGCTCAGGCGATATTCACATACCACTTTGCAGTGGTACATACTTTGGAAATTGTCCTCCAATTTTTTAGGCAATTGCTCAGAAAAAATGAAAAGGGTTATTCAGTTAAATCAAATACATGAAATGGCATTTACTCAAGTGATGGGTACACAGCAAAACATCCTTTCTGAACCCATTTTATAATAATAATTGGTTGGACTCCAGATCAATATTCAAGGTTAGATAGCTTCATCACGTGATCTTGAGTGGGACAAGTATGATTGACAGCTACTAATCCTCAATGGAGCGTCCCCTGCCAACAAAAATTAGTTTGCTGTGTACTTGAAGGAATGACAATACTATATTGCTATAGTATACTCACATAAAAAAGCCAATGTGTCAGACAGTGGGAATATAAGGCAAGCCTAAACGCCTCCACTGAGATCAGCCCATGCTCAAGCCACCAGGTTGTCTTTATTGACTCAAGCATGACAGACAGGCATACAACCAAAAGGAGAATTTCCAAAACAACATACAGGCTTGATGTCACGATGGAGGAATCCCACAGAGTGAATGGCTTCTATTGATTCCAGAATCTGTTTGCCTAATCGCAGTGTTGTGCTCAGCGTGAAAGTCCCTCGAGGCTGACTTCTTCTGAGATCTGCAAGATTTCGGCCCTGAAACAATCAATATAACATTTAAACCAGCACACCAAAGCATAGCATCTCATAGTTGCAAGATCTAAGACACATCCCAGTGAAAGCAGAAACGCTAATCCGACAGGTGCCTCACCTTGTGTCTGATTTAGTTCTTGCATGTAAACGTCCAATACTTCATTTTAACTTTTAAATTGTATGCATACTCATAAGAAGATACCAGACTGATATCCTGGGAAACCAGTTGACTCTTCTACTTAGGAAATAGGCACAGCAAGGGCAGCAATGCCTCTCACTATGAGCTATCACACTATCAGAGTTCTTTGATTTGTGAAAAAGAGAGTTTTAAAATGAATATCCTCTATGATAGAATGCCCCTCTACTCTACAAAACTAAAGCACGTATCAACTGATCAAAATGACTAGGCATAAAAGTCCACAGGTTCACAGAACATACATCAAAAGAAGAGTTATGGGGATATGCTGATTAACATTATACTACAGAACCTATCATTTCTGCTCCTGCAAAAATATACACACTTATAATACAAGTCCACATGTATTCAAACTAAATTTATGACAAGACAAATATATATAGAAGAGATTCCAAACACGTGATGAGAAAGCCAAGATTGCTCTCCAAACCAGTGAAATGCTAATCGATTCCTCCACCCATTCCCAATTCCCAACTTATGGAAAGACATTAAGGGGCCAACTGCAACTGGCTCTTTTAGCATCTGACCTGTCTCTCAAGTTGTTTTGCTTCTGTTTCACTTCAAGGCTCTGGGTCCCTTGATCAAACACACTTACTATAGGCCAGTTAACTTTCAGGATCTAATCTGAAGTACCAATGAACGCGTTTGGTGACAAAACTTGAGCACAGAAGAATAAACAGTTTGATCTAGGGTTCACAGACAATACAGGTAAGAGCCAAGGCACAGCAACTGGCCCCAAATTGCTCCTTAGCATGAACAGCAAAAACACTACCGAAGTAGCCTCGTCTTACCATTTTTTTTTATTATATATACTTCTGTGACAGTTTATTACAGGCAGATAGATTTGTCACCTCTACCTTGAGAGATCTGAGCTTCTGAACTGATGGCAGATCTTTCTTTTCACTGTTTCTTGGAAACAGATTCTCTTAACTGATGGTAACAGGGAAAGGCAGATTTTTTTTCAGAGCTACATATTGAAATAGTTATTTATTAAGCCACAGTTTTCCCCTAGCGGGTTTAGGAGTCAGTCCCAGAGACCTGCTCTCCAGTCTCAAAAGCAACCAAAAACATCGGAATGTCATGATGGTTCACTACTGCCTCAGGGAAAGACAGAAAATTAGCAGAAAATCAGTGTTTTGCAAATAAACACCACCGTGCTGGCGGAGAAAGAGCAGATGCAATGAATTGCAAGGCTCAGAGGGGAAGCCACAGTTCCAGTGACTGAAGACAATTCCTGCACAGAAAGGGAGAACTGCAGTACACTACAGCCACAGTATCTCAGCATATCTTGAAGTGGAAAGGGAATTTTTAGCCTGAAGACTGATGGTTGGTCAGTCACAATGGTACAAAACTAGCTATGCTTTAAGCAACAAAGTCTTCATTTGCAAATAATGAAACAATTTTAGCTCCCAGCTCTACCACCTCAGTCATGTTGTCAAAACCAGACTAGAAAGTAAGGGATTCTGTGCAAAAAAATTTTTCTCTCAAGGTATAATCATCTTTAACAGGCTTGTTAAGGACAGGATTGGGGGGTTAGAAATCTTATCTTGCCATGAGCTCCCTGTTGAGAATCCTATTCACGCTCACACTGCAGCTACAGCTAGCGTTAGCTAGAGAGTAAAAACTTCTCCTGTCCCTAACATCAGCATTTGTGATGCCAAAAGTGCACAGAAGGCAAACCCACGGTTCAGAAATATACCAGTTTCATATACCCGTTTTTCAGAGTAGAACTACAGCTTAAAAGAACTACAAGTTTATTTTAAAGTGCTGTCAACTTGAAAACTCAGCCCCTGCTTAAGCACTTAACTTTTATCGTTAATAAGCAACCCCCAGAATCTTCGCAACATATTAATGAAAATAAACTCAAATTTTCCCACTCGTCCACATCCTGTGTTAAACAATGCCCTGCACAGAATTCATTTCCCTCCTCTCTCACCATCACCTTCTCCCCTGAGCAATTTTGCGTCTTTCTAACTGTTCTTCCGCATGCCTAGAAAACTCAATTCACATACCTACTGCGTGTCCTTCAGCTCCCCTTCATGCTCCTCTCTTGTGACATCCAGAGGGAAGAGTTTAATGTTAGAAACTGTATATGGGGCCTGCTGGTGTCTATTTTACTTCTTTCACTAATTAAAAATAACCCTCCAGTTTATACTAGCAGCTTACTTCTTTTACTTACTACTTCATCCTTACTTTCCTTCAGCATGTTCTGTCACTCAGATTATACATAAAGAAACATGACACATGCTGTAAACTCTTCAGGGGAAGGTCAGGTTTGTAATGTATAACCATATAGCGCTTTGCACAGTGAAGCTCTGATCATACAAACTACAAGAGAGACAGGGACAAGTCAAGTCCTATGTCAGGTGCTGAAACAGGCCAGCTTCCAAGGCAACAGTGTCAGAAAGCAGCAGCTTTAGTTTGAAAGTATTCCCCTCTGAGCCAGGGACAGTTCCCATCTCCTTAAAGGCCTTTCTTCCATGTGGTTTTGGCTCAGTTTTAAATTCCCATTTGTTCCTCGCCAGTTTTTTTCTCCTGTGACTATGCTGTAGAGGACAGCTGCTTTTGTGACAGTATCACCGCATTTGGGCTATGAAGATCTACTCATGTAGGTTAACTTGGTACCGAGTTTAATGCTGAACCATGCAGGGGTCCCTGCAGCTCCTGCTGTTAGTGTGGCTTGTGTGAACAGAACCATGCCAGCCTTCAGCTGGCTTACTCTCATAGGAGTAGGTGGCTGTCTAGCAGAACAGTTAACCATTTGCTTCCACAACTGCTGCTGAGGTTGGTAGAGATGAGGAGCCAGAGCCCACTCTCCCTCAGAGAGAGAGGACCATGCCCCTAGTGAGATGCCACCAATTCCCACCAAGTTCTGAGCTCTGATATAAGACTGATACTTTGAACACCACATCTCAGAGTTCAGCAGAAGCTATTTCAACCAGCAGCCACTGCTGCAAGATACTGTGGCTTCTGCAAGCATTCTGAATCAAGAGCTTTCCCCAGGAAACAGACAGCTATCTTAAAAAGCAAAGTGGAGCAATTGAACACTCTAGCGTATTTTGAGAACTGACCTACCCAAAAGGATCACAGCAACATCATCCCTTCTCACTGTCTCCCATTCCACCCACTTTCGATGTACAACAAAACTCTTAGCTCCAATGCTTGGCCTTATTTGCTCGCTGTAAATCCTTCCCTGGGATGTCATCTCTATTTGGGGGGACACAGAACTCACCTGAAGCTGCATGACCACATAATTAAATTTTTCATTCCTTCCACAGCCAATAAATCTGCAAACATGATCCTTTCCTGCAAAACAAAACAAAAAAAACAAATAAAAGAAGAGAAACAAAATGGAACATAAGAAAACAGAACTACTCAGTGATCATGATTTTTAGATAAAGGGTTTCTAATAAAGGGCTTGCAATTGTAAAAGACATCAGGCAGAGAATTTTGCAGAGCAGACTGATTTTGTTTTCACTTCCCATAACCCTATACCTCAGGACAGTGGTATGACACTCAACAAGAAAAAAGCTTGTGAAAATAGCCACAAGTGCAAACCAGTGTCAAGGATCCTTGACTCCTCAAAGTGATGCTGTAGAGTACGAGTGGAAGTGTGAAAGACTGCAGTTTATACAGCTGCCACGTGCGTACAACACCACCACCAGAACCACCACCAACCCTGAACTAAACCACGGGTAGCACATACTACTGCATGGTTTCACAGTTTCACCTGCATCGCACTTAAGCTCCCCAGATCACCTTCACTCAGTAGGTGCTCACTTTTACACACCACTAACCACACTTGTCCTATTAGCACCTCCTACCCTGAAACAGCTAAACTGAACGATATTTTGATACACAGACAAACCCTAAGCTTGATTGCCAGAAACATCTGGACGAGAGAGATGGTTATGACAAACTCTGTTAAAACAATGGCACATAAATCTGTGCCATTACATGTCAAGTTCTTGCACTGAGTTACAAACACAAACCACCTCTACCCAGGCAAAATCAAACCCAATCAGTCACCAGCCAACACTCTGCCAGCCCTTTTAAGTTCATTCTCTGGTGCAAAAGCACTGCTGCAATGTCTTCATTTCATCACATGGCTCCAGGCAGGACCTACCTTCAAAAAAATGCAGTAAGTCCTGGAGGTTGTGGTTTCAGATCCTGACCCACGATGTATTTGTGACAACGGGCTCTCTGTATTAGCAAAGGGGGAAAGAGACGCATATGTGTTCCCCTAACAGCAGACTGTTGATGAAAAGGTAAGGTTGATGCACACGATGCTGGTGAACACTGGGGCTCCTGATGGGGTTTCTAAGCAGGCAAGGGGGCAGGTATCATTGCGCAGCTTTGCCCTGTATTTTCTGGTGGAGCTTGAGCACTGGCTACTTTAATTAGTTTTTACCAAAGCTTTTTGTTCGATAGTTCCCAGTTAAAAATGAAAAATGAGAGCATGAACACATGCAGTAATCAGTAATTGCACTGCCTGTAAAGCCCTCAGGACCCTGCTACTGCTCTCTCTGTGCACTCCGTAGGGCCCTGGCACCAAAAAGGGGCTGGCACAGTAAGACGTAACAGAGTTGAAGCTGGAGGGCAGCAGGAGATGAAGAGTGGCTTTCACAGCAGAGAACCAGAGCTTTGACCAGAACACTGCATACAGGCAGGGAAGATTGGGCTCCATCTCCGTGCCGTCGGTAAGAGCATCAGCAGCCTGCCCTCCAGTGCCCAGCGGTGTCCCACAGCGGAGCACCCACTTCTGCTCTCCTACTGCAAAGAAACAACACAGCTGCTTGCAAGCAGAACTGGACGGACAGAGGCCCTGGCTACTCCAACTCCATTTGGAAGAACAGGTTTAAGCAAAACAAAACAAAACCACACACCACCCCACAAACAGCCATTCTGACGTGCCTCCTCCCCGCCCCATAGTAGCCCACCTATATCTGGTTAGATAAGCACAGGAGGGTGCTGGGGCTGCAGATCACTGCTATCCTTTATGCCTCTGGCACAGACTTAAGATTGCTTAAATACACTCAGACCTAAAACTGGACAAAGTACAAAACTAGACAGGGCAGAAAACCCTCAAGGAACAGCAAATTTATCATATTTCAGGAGAAGAGTTTCAGAGATGAGGAAAGTACCCTCTTCAGTACACATCACAGCATCCCTCACATACCATGCCTATGCCCTGTCTGTGTCCATGAGTACTGGGTGCCACCTGTTTCTTAGTATCTGTAAATTCATTGTAAATTCACTGTTGATTTTGACCTATAGATTCCTACTGGCTGAAGCTTTCCTGAAGGAGCTCCTTAAAACACTGCCTGAATGCAACACGCATCCTGGCCTCAGGTCTACCAAGAGGGAACAGGCAACACTGCCTGCTGATGTGGCCTTGCAGCTGCCTTCAATGCAAAATTCGTGGCTTTTTAGACAACAGATTAACTTCAGACAGAGCCATTATGCTTCTTTGGGAGTTTCTAATACCCGTGTGCTTCAGCATACCGGCAATCTGCAGAGTGTCTATGGACAGGCTGCTGCGTGTTCACACTCATGCTGGAGTAGCCTGTTAAATCCATACAGATTCACACAGATCAGCCTGGTTGACTTGCAGGCATGCTGCAAGCCTAACTTGGTTTTGTTTTGCCCTGCAGAGCAGCAGAAAACGGACACTGAGGTGACAGCCAAAACAGTGAGTGTATCTACCGGTAACGAGAGCTACTGAGTGGCAGAGAGGGTAAATGATTCAAAGTTTTATTTGCTTTCATTGTTTTGAATAATTGCAAAGCACTCCCAGCCTGCACATAATGTGCTTTTTATTGCTCTAAAACCAGAGATGAGAACATTTAAAAATATCCTCTGATAGCAAGAACCTAGTCACTTCATTATCTCAGGGAAGTGCCAAAAGTGCCAGCATTTGATACATCTGACTGACTTAAGATAAATCCTTAATAATTTGGTACTGCCTCTCCACATTTGGACTACATTCCCGAGGACTTTTATCAGTCTGTCCATAATATCATTGCTTTCTGGATCACACAGTTTTACAGAAAGGAAAAGCATTTACATCTTAAGCATTACATTTTTTACTGTTTCAGATTTTTATGCATCTAGGCTGATATATTAACACATTTCTGCTTACTAGGATGTTTTAAAAAGGTTAAAAACCATATCTGCACTGAGATTAATCAGATGGACTTAGCCTAAGTCCAAGTCCAATAGATCCAGCAGGAGACCATTCTAGACTGGAAAGGAGAAGGAGATTCAGTATGAAATCAAGTCAATTGGGGGACGTGGGTCATTGAGAGTGACCTCTGGAACAGCTCTTCCACGCACTAGTCTGCACCCTAAGCAACAGCAGAGGTGGTAGTAGAGGTGCGGGAAAAACCAATGCACCCCCCCCACCCTCAAAATACAGCCTGTGCCAATTCCTGCATCAAACAAAACAAATACTGCAGGGTGTAGAAAGCAGGGCACATTTAGAGCTGTGCTATGTAGAGCCAGCTGGTCACATAGATGGGATAGATGTTTACAGCATCCACCCCTCTGGGTTTCTGAGGCTTTACCCATTTTTCAGCTAAAGGAGGCACCAGGATGCAGCTGTTTGCTCTTGGACGAGTTGATGTCATGCTGAAATAGCAGATGCAGGATGACAGTCAGGCATAGCTTTAGGACTCCTGCAGTTAAGTTGCCCTGCAGCTGATCAGAATTATGAAGCACACTAACACATCCACACTAACAACCTACTTTTGGGTGGCCAAGACAACGAGACAATCATACCTTCCTCTAAGGCAGAAGGGAAAAGCCATCTTTGCTCACTCATGCCCTCCCCAGGCATACTGCACAGAAAGCAGCAAAGCATATATTGATCCAGAAAAGTACAGGTACAAGAAAAAAAAAGAAAAAAAAAGCTTTTTCAGGGTGTACTTAGTATGGATGCCCTCACAATCACTTTACTGCGCTAATTGCCACATGACATAGGGCCTGTTATATTAGTTGTTACCTTGCTGGATTTGTCCCACTGAACAGTCATTCTGATATTACAGAAGCTTACAAGTTCATACTTTAGAAAATAAGTCCAATATCAATATTCCTTTATTACAAAAACAAAGCAGTTTTCTTCCAACAAGGTAAAGGAGCGCAATAGGGCCTGTTATATTAGTTGTTACCTTGCTGGATTTGTCCCACTGAACAGTCATTCTGATATTACAGAAGCTTACAAGTTCATACTTTAGAAAATAAGTCCAATATCAATATTCCTTTATTACAAAAACAAAGCAGTTTTCTTCCAACAAGGTAAAGGAGCGCAACTAACAGAGGCAGTGAACAGAGGCAGCAGTTTGTGCAGCAATGTCTGGGCTCTGCTTGGGCCTTGTGTGGACCTTACTGGAAGTTGTGGAGGCTTTCTGGGGACCCTCGAGGAAGTAGACGGTGCTTGCTGCTAGCAGGAAAGCAGAGCTAGGCAGGGACAACTGCAGGAGGCCTTGACTTCTCCTGGGAAGTTGTAGCTAGGTGCGGCTGCTGCTAGCGAGCTCTCTGGGTTGCCCCTGAGGAGAGGGAGTTGGGGCCTTTGATCCAGGTGGCCCTTGATTAGGGTGGGTCAGGCACCCTGTGAGTCACTGCTAGGCAGAGGCCTCTGTAAGAGCCAGGCCTAGAGTGCAGCTCCCAGAGTGCAGTGAGAGGAGGCAGCAGTTGGTGCAGAAGGGTGCCAGAAGGCACCTTCATTTCTTGAGGTAGTGTGTGCTTCCTCAGGTATGGTCGTGACATGCTGCAGAGCACACTCGCCAGTGGCTGCTGGAGTTGCTGCATCAGCTGTGTCTGAAGCTTGGACCCAGACAAAACCTTCTGACAGCAGATGCAGCTGTAGAGGGGTCAGGCTGCAGGGAGTGCCCAGGGCCTCTCTGTGCGGCCTGGGCTGACAGTCAGCTCTCCTGCAGAAGGTGTGCTGTGGCTGGTGAGTTGTATCACCAGGTAAAGGAGTTACCTGCACTGCAGTGGAGTTGCTGGAGGGCTCTGCACTGTGTGAAGTGGTCCATCATAACACTGTTGAAGAAGGCTGGAAACTGGTCGCTCGTTGTAGAAGGAGAAAGGCTCTTGCTCCTCCTCAAGGCTTGCCGTTGAGGAACAAGTTTAGTGCCCTGCAGGCTGAGGAGGAGCTGGGCATGGCTCCAAGGGAAGCTGCTGGCCTGATAGACCCTGTGCCATGCAGGAACACCTGGAAGAAGTGGCGAGTAACTGTTGTGGGTGACTCCCTGCTGCGGGGGACAGAGGCACCTATCTGCTGACCTGACCTCTTGTCTAGAGAG